AGAAGCAATAAATAATAAATTATTTTTTTAATTTTGGAAAATTATAAATTTTAATTTTTAATTTTTATAAGTATCTAAATATCATAATATAACTATGGAATAGATTTATGATTTTTTAAAAAGGAGTAATTTTATTATGTAAATTAAATTTTAATCTATTTAAGGATTATTTTTTCATTTTATTTATTTCTTATTTATTTTCAATAATCTAACAGTAATTTATAAGTAGGTACAGTTTTTAGATTCTCAACTTAAATAGAGATATAAGAACAGTGGCTATTTCCCAAGTCACGATTGCGAGCTTGGTGCTTTGCGACAGACTATCATGGAAGTGATAGCGATGGTTTTGATTTTCACGCACTGCGTCACCACTTGACGAAGGCCCATCCTTCAAAACCGCCCTTCAATCGCGACTATTGGTTACTCAAACCCTTTCTCCTCTCTTAGTTTGCGTTTTCACAGAAAATAATGATTGAAGCCAAATCCAGATCCGTGGCCTTCTAAATCAAATCAATTAAATCAGATCAATTAAAAAAAAAAAAAAAAAATAGAATTTAGATCAGATAGAACGATACACATCGAAATACATAATTAGAATTATTATAATCAGCAGTCAATTAGCCGTGAGGAATTAAAAAACAATTAAATCACCATTCGTTCACTCAATATAAACCATCATATTACAATAAGTGGTTCTTCGAAATCATAAAAATATCAGTTCAAATATCCTATTTGTACAATATTCAAAAATTCAAAAATTTAGTTTAAACTTTAATAGAAATAATAGTCAAAATTTAATATTGATATTTGATCGGATTAATATTATATTTTATGTCTATTAAGTCATATAAGCATTACATTTTTATTCTTCGAATGAAATTATTTTGATAATCAAATTACTACTTATAATAAAGAAAAATACATTCATCTTTATTAATTTGAAATGTTATGGGAATTTTGATTTGTTCTTATAGATTTCGGTAAGAAGATAAATTGAATGTCATAGAATAATTTATCTATGGCTTTAAATAAAATGTTTGTACAATAATTTATGTGTGATTATGTATGTATTTAAAAAGCAGTATTCTATAATGCTATTATTTTGGAATTTGCTATAATTCGATTTATAATTAATAATTTTCATTAAATAATATATGTATATGTATATATATATATATATATATAAAAGAAATTTTTAACATATATATATAAAATTAATTAATAAAAATTTAAAAGTAATTAAAAATTTTAAAAAACAATAAATATTTGTTTTTTTTTCAATGAATGCAATTAATTTATATTGTATATTCGAGCTTATTAAGATATTTTAAAAACTTTATAAACTTTTTTTCAAATTATCCAATCAAATAGAAATTTATTTGTTTCTTGTTATAAATTTATATCCATAATTATAAAATTATATAATTATCGCTAATGTTCTCAATTAAATTTAAGATATTTATTTTGTGGTCAATCCTCAGTTTTAATAATAAAGTTTCTAATAATAGATTATATATATGTTGTCTATAATTTTATTCCTAATAAAATATTGGATTTTATTAAAATATTTCATATTACATTATATAAATTACAATAGGAATTACAATTTCATTCAAAATCAAATTAAATATAAAATTTCTCGTTCAAGTATTAATAATTGTATTTTACCAACAATAATTATTTTTAAAACATAAGTACAATATATAACATATAAAAATTACTATAATCAATAACTAGTTTAAATAAATTAGATATTACGCAAATATTTGTCTTACATTACATTTCTCTTACCATTCGAAACAAAACATTTTTTTATTTATATTTTCAATTTCTTCTTGTTACTTTCACTGAATTAAATAATATGAAATATTCATAACTGAATGAAGTATGAACGATACAAGTAAGAAAGAAGTAACTTTTTCTTGTTAAGTAACTGGAAGATACTATTTATCGTAACAAATTTTCATTCTTTCAAAACTTAGAACAGAAGGGGAAAAAATAAAGAAAAGAATGAAGGAATATAAAAAAACAACAATAAAGATTAATAATACAAATAAGAAATTTGAAAACTATAATTTTCTCGAAATCAATATCTATTATGGAAAATCTTGCAGAATGTATGCATAAAATCGATCGATTGTAATTGCTACACATTATATTATTACTACACTATTATTATTGTAAAAAAATTATTGTAAAAAAATAACATGAATATATATACATATGAAAAAACAAGAGAGAAGAATATTTGTACAAATAATATATTAAGCTGAGGTATAGTCGAATGATTTTTCGAGTTCTGTATAACAATCAATATCTGACTAGAAAGATGGATATATTTAATAAACACTATCATATCTATTGTACTGTGTTGAAAATTATAGGTTTATGGCCATATAATAACTCAATTTATATTTGGATTCAGAGATTATTGTTATTAACATTCTATCTTGGCAATGTAATATTTCAAAAATTATAATTTTACTTTGCGTAATTTATTATATTTTTACTCAAATGATTTATAAGATATTGTCTATATTACAGCATTAAAATATTCTCTTTCTTGAAATAATAATATGCATTTATTGTATTTATATAAAATAATAATATATTGATACAATGTATTATACTTTTAAGTTTGTGAATAATATACATATTAGCATAATAGGGATGTATAAAAATATATTTGTATAATATTTAAAAATTATAACATTTTGAAATATATAGTATCCAGTTAATATATGTATAATTTTATTTCATTTAAAAACTAATTTTTAAAAGAAATGAATTCTAAAAGTCGTCAAATAGAATTATTCTTTATCAACATATGTATACATCATTTAAAAAAACATGTACATGTCATAAACAAAAAGGACTTAAAATTTAATTCTATATTTTTTATATTTTCAAATGTAGAAGAAGAATTTTCTTTCATAATTTATTTGTAACTAATTGAAGCAATAAGCAATATTTCAAAAAATTTCATTTTCTCGAAAAAAATCTGAAACGAAAAAATTTTATTCGCTTACATATGCTTCGACTAGATTTTATATATATATATATATATAAAATGTAATATTATACATATTTTATAATGCCGGTTAAATGATAATAATGATAATATATTTCAAAACGCGATTAAAATATTATATTATCATCATAAAATATAATATTTAAATTCTAATTAATAAATTTTTAAATTGTATCACTTCTGAGATCTGAAATTACGGTCCGAAACTATTTTAATATTGTCTACGACTTGTAATATAAAATATATAATAATTTTAATATAATAATTTTATTACGATATATAAGCTTTATAATATTTTTTCCTATGATAAGTAAAAATTAAAATTATTGTAGACTTTTTCATAGAATAATATTTTTACATGTTATTTTTCTTTTTTTTTTTGGCATAGATAAAAACTTTTATTTCATCATATGTGTATGGAAGAAAATATAATACAAGATTCAAAAGAAACACAAATACGAACGAAATACATCGATGATTCTTGTCACATGATCGAAATACTTTTACATGTAAGAAATGTATAAATTTCATTGATAATATCAATTTATAATATTACTATTGTGATCGAAAGAACTTAAATATTACAAAATATTTATGTATCTATTATTGTATATTTAAGTTTTTGTTATATATATCCTTCTTATATATATATAATTATAATATGTGTAAACTTTACTTTTTAATAAGAATATTAAATTTTCTTTCATTTTTACGAGAATGATTTTTCAATGTTAATATTATATGAATATTTCAATTTAAATATAAACTATATTATGAAATGATTTTTTTAAATTTTAGGAATAACTTGTGTAAATATTATTTTGTACAGTATGTTGTTACTGTATCTTATAATATTGGATTTCATAATGTCTTTAAACGAATCTCATATACATTACATTATTTTCTGTTAATCGAACCATATATTTTTATATTTTATTCTTGGATTTTTTATTTATTATCATATTTGGGTTATTTTCTATAATCGATAATTGGACTTTATACTTATCATATAGACTGTATTGTTTAAATTTATTAAGTAAGTAAAATTATTATATTAATCTCACGTGATACTTATTATGTAATAAATATTAATAATTACTATGTTTATAATATTTTTTATAATATGGATATTAACATTTATAAGATTATAATTGACTGCAAGGTGGCATAATTTTTGTAAATTTAATACTATTTTAAATATTACATTTTTTCTATTTCTTAAAATATTTTTTAGGAAATATTCTATAAAATATTAATATAAAATATTAATATATAGATAGTAGTGGTATAAATTAGGTAATATGCATTAAGTGTTAATATACAAACAAATATGTTCGAGAAATCGATTCGAGAAATCTTGATTTAAAATTTTCCAAGCAATTTTTGTTTTGACATAATTTTCATTTCGGTTTTATTATTCATTAGATATTAACGAAATGACGCTCTGTCATCGCTACAGTTTTTCAGTAACAATTCATTACCAAAATAAAAATTTTCAGAAAGAAAAAGTTGTTTGAAATATTTTAGATTTACGATTTAAACCTTGTCACTATTAAAATCTTAAAGATCGATTTTTGAAATTTCGAAGTTTTAAACATATATATACATTATATTGA